TAGTAACTTTGTGAAATTTTAAAACTTTCGTATTGAAGCTAATTGTAAAATTCTTGATCAACATATTGAAACTGGTAGAAAAGTCTTTTTTTAAATCTAGCATATATATCTTAAGTCTATTAAAACCAGCTTATCATAGCTATCTCTTGTCCAACTTGTGCAGCTACTCTAGTCATAAGATCTTTATCATAATCTCTTGACATAAGATCTTTATCACAAGTTATCTCTTGACATAAGATGCTTTGACTGTGGTAAAAGTGTTTGTCAAAAACTTTTGCGATTTATTTAACGTAGATCAGATGCAATTGATCAAATTTTGTGCAAAACATAGTTTCTGCAATTAATAATCTCGGTCTAGATATCCAAAAATTTAAAGGTCATATAGGTGCCAAGGCAATGTCTGAAAAATTAAGATGTGTTCCATCAAGAATTAGATTTATAAACTCTAAGTATCTTTTTGTTTACTTTTTTTGTCACAAATTTAAATGAATAATTAATATATCTTACATTGTTTAGAGTAAGAAATGTTTAGTGTAAGAAATGTTTTCGATAAAAACAAGTATCTCAATTTTTAACTTATATTCTAAATCATTTAGAATTTTAATCACAACTGATTTGAAAAAGTAAAAAACTGATATAAAAAAGTAATGATAATAATATTAAAATAAAAAAAAATAATAATAAAAAAAAAGGTTTATGTGTGTGTATTATATACAAGATTATATCTAAATTTGTGACAACAGTATCGGACAAAACAAGTGCAACCAAATACAGTATCGGACAAAACAAGTGCAACCATATAATGCTAATTTAGTTTCTTTATATAAAAGTGCTGCATTTTTTCAATTTAGAGAAATAACTATGTAACTGTTTAGAGACAACGTTCTTCAAGTTTTATTCATCACAAAGTTCATTATTTGTACACGAAAATTAATAAATTAATCAAAAGTATTAAAAAAAGTTGATTTCCTTCTGATTAAAACAAGTGCAACTCAACAAAATGTTGACCAAGCTTTCAATATTTCGTGACGAATCCTTTGTTGTTGATCACAGCCTTGCATAGATTCATTCAGGTCATCAATGAAACTTTGTGGAATCGCTGGCCAGGCTTTTTGGATTTGTTCAAACAGTTGATCATTATCACAAACACCTTCATGGTTAATTCTGCGGTTGATGATCTCCCGCAGGTTCTTGATAGAGTTGAGATCCAAAGGTTAAGGCGGCCAATCCATCACCGATAGGTGGTTGTCTTGAAACCACTGCTTGACTACTTTTGCAGTGTGTTTCGGATCGTTGTCTTGCTGAAAAATCCATTTTATTGGCATATTCCATTCAGCATGAGGTAACATAACATCTTTCAGGATATTTTTATACATGAAACGGTCCATTATTCCATCGATTTGATGTATTCGACCTAGACCGTTAGCAGAAAAACACCCTTCACTGGTGTTTTTCTAACGGTTTATGGCAGTAACGTAAATCGAGGCGTTTTCCGGCTTCACCAGCACGTTGTCTGATTGTTTGGTCCAATACAAGCAGCTCTAATTGCTTTTGTATCTCGACTGATGATATCCAGGGATCCTTCTTGACGGATCTGACGATCATAGAATCCTCTCTAAAAATGGTGGAACACGGTCTTCCACCTTTGTTTTCTGCTGCCAACTTCCCCGTAGAACGATATTTGGACCATAGTCTTGATACGGTCCATTTTTTCACGCAATATTAATCACAAATACTTTTTTGTGATATTCCACTTACGTAATCGCCAATAATTTTCTTACTTAGTTATAATCCAAGACTGTCGGGAACCATTTTTGCACTTGAAGTCATAAAAATAATAAAAATAAATAATCACGCTTCTCAAGACTTACGTGTTACATTTACCTTGTGATGATACAATAATGCTCTGTGGAACTTAACGTCTGGATACTTCCTTTAATTATTAAAAAACTTCTGTGACATTGGCACAGACCAGACTTAAGAAAATGAAACAAACCAAAAAATTTACACTTGTTTTGTCCGCTACAAAATGGCACTTTTCAACAAAATTCTGCCTGTGTGCTGTCACCTGTCAGCTGATTGCTCATGTTATGGCATGCTATGAATCCAGACTCCTGAACGTTTTGGTATGGTAGTATAGTTCGTTTCGTTTTTAAGACATTTAAAATTAGGAATACTTTTTAGCATTGTTTGATGTTGGTTGCAAATGTTTTGTTCAATACTGTATATATATATATATATATATATATATATATATATATATATATATATATATATATATATATATATATATATATATATATATATATATATACATATATATATATATATATATATATATATATATATATATATATATATATGTATATATATGTATATATATATATATATATATATATATATATATATATATATATATATATATATATATATATATATTTACAAAGCATGATAACAGTGTAAACTAGGTTTCCGAAAAAAAGATCACTTAGATCTTATCATTGGAACCTTTAAAACAATAATAAACAAATTAGTTTACAAATAACTTGTAAAGTATACGTTACAATAAAGTGGAATATATAGAGAGAATTTTTTACATAAGCAAAACTTTAAACAATATAAGCAACATATATAAATGTAAAAATAATATAAATAGTTGTATACAACAAAACCTTAGAGAAAAATAATAAAAATCCAAAATAAAGTTATATAATAGATAAATTAATTAGTAATACTGTAGAGAAAAAAATTAAATTTTTTACTTTGTTTTTAAAAAGACAAAAAGAATTTGGTCGATTAAAATCAAAATTTGGTAAAACAAGTTTATTCCAAAGGTGCGTTGCACGATAGACAAAATTGATTAAAATTTGTTTCACAAAAAGGTTCGTTAAAAAAAAATTTTCTCTTAAGAATGTATTTGTTGCTTGATTTTAAACTGAAAGGATCTAAAAAGACTTGGTTGGGGGGGGGGGATAATTTCATGCTCTGTTGAGCTATCCTTTTTAAAATCATATTGATTAACATAGAGTAGGTTATTTTTGTCAAGGTGTTTATATATTCTGGTGCCCATAATTCTTTCTGGGATTTTTGGGGCGGTAATTAGTTATTTGGGATTGGTCACCCTCTTTATAAATAAGTGTAACTTTGGCAATTTTTAATTGATCTGGAAAAATTCCTTGTATAATTAAGGCTTTGAAAACTTTGAAAAGAACATCTTTTAGTTGCTCAAAGCAATCTATAATAACGTTTCGATTTATTTCGTCTGGTCCACATGATTTTTTTTTTACAAATTTGAACGCCTTTTCAAGTTCTTCATCTGATAAATCAGAGGATAGCTCATCAGAGCATATGCACTTATCCACCAAATAAAGTTCTGGTGATAGGAACCTTATTTGATAGTTTAGGATCTGTTTCAGTAGAAAACAATCGAGCAATACGAGTAATCTGAAAAAGTCTTACACTAAATATTATTGTCGGAGTTTTCGTCCTGGGAAAAAAATTCTTTTTCAAAAAAATTAAACGCAAGAGATTCAAAATCATAAAAATAAGTTGAAAATTTTCAAGGGATAAGATGACATATAGTATTTATTATAATAAAAAAAAAACTAACACTATTGAAAATTTTTAATTTGATAATACTAACAATCGTTTTTATAGTTTGGTAGATTAGTAAACTTTCTTTGAATTCCCTGAATAAGTTTATATATATATATATATATATATATATATATATATATATATATATATATTATATATATATATATATATATATATATATATATATATATATATATATATATATATATATATATATATATATATATATATATATACTTCATTTTTTGTTATTTAACTTTCTTTTTTGTTCCTGTACTATATTCAAATAAAAAAAAAGTCGATAATACATAAATCCAACGTAGAGGGCCTGTCGTCAAGAACCGTTTACAATATTTACGTAATTATATAAAAAATCAGAAAAATTCACAAAAAAAATTAATCAGGCTTAAAATACTATGTTATCTAGTGAGATTATAGTTTTTTTTAATTTACTTTTGAACTTTTTTAGTTATTCTGATTTTGGGATAAATTAAAATTTTTCTGCTCCGTAAAAAAGTGCCATCATTTGAAATAAAGAACCTGCAATAATTGAGAATAAAGTCAGTAAAATTATCATTTTTTAAGTTGTACTTTCATTATAGATTATACACTTTCTTATGTATTTTTTTTAGATAACAAACATATATTGTGATAAAATATCTACATGTTATTGCAGATAAAAACAACAGCTCAGAATTACTAAAAAGTGGATGTGGTTTATTTTTTTTTTTCTTTTAATTCTTTTAAATTTTCTATAATCTTATCTTTTTGTAAAAATAGTTTTTATTCATGTTGAAATTATGTTTATAGAATTTAAAACTCTATAAACTATATAATAATATTATTCTTATATATATTGTTTTTAATCTTTATAATTATATATGTATATATATATATATAAATATAAATATATTTATATATATATATATATATATATATATATATATATATATATATATATATATATATATATATATATATATCCCTCGAAATTAGGACCTGAAAGTAATTAAGGCTGCAACCTCGTTTTTTTTTTATGGTAACCCTTTTGTTTCAAATTTTTTTTGCCCGACCTTTAACAGTTTAAGATCGGCAATAAAGTGCCGACTTCATTTATTAGTAAAACAATTGAAGAGTGTTTTTATAAATGGCATTAAGTCCATTTTTTCAAAAGGTTAGTTTTTTCGACATTTGAAGTTTTTATTGATAAACATACAAATCTAATTATGCTAGTATCAATAAAAAAAAGTTGTTCATCATCTCTATTTACGATTACAAAATTATAGATATTCAAAAATTTTTTGCCAGACAATTAGTTTTATGTGTTTATCTCAACACAATAAAAATGTGGCTCAATGTTTTTTAGAAAAACTCTCTTCAATTTTTATAAGTTTAAATAAATATTAAGTTTATATATAAATATAATTCATTCAATACAACTATATTTTAGCAGGTTTAAAGCCTGCTTAAAAAAAAAGAAAAAAAAGTTTATGTTTCAGTTGTAAGCTCAAGATTCCTAGCTTTTAATTTCATTTAAATTTCATTTTAATTTTGTTTTTTTTTAATTCACTTGACCAAGATTTATTTTATTACCCAATTTCAGCCGGAAGCTCTTGTCCCGTAAATAACGTCAAAGTCACATTTCTATTTAAGCTAAAAGCAGGATAAACAATTCCGGCTTTTTTCATATCAGGAAATTCAACAGGACCGTGCTTAATTTTATTCCGATAAAACGTTAAACGAGAGTTTTCCATATCCAAAAACAAACCAATAGTTGAGGCAGTAGCAATACCTTAAATAAAAAGCAATTTAAAATTGTATTTCTTAGGCTTTAAATTATTGTAATAAAACTTATAAAGTCATACAGTGTTAGAGATAAGCGCAAAAGAATCAGGAGTATGAAGATGTATAAGACTTTTTTTAGAAAAAATACAAGAAAATTCATCTCAAATTAAGAACCATATAAAATAGAAACCACATAAAAAGAAAAATAGGTCCCATATAAGCCAGGAACTATATAAAATATTAGGAACTATATAAAACATGAGAAACTGCATAAAACAATAAAAACTATATGAAATATCTGGAATTACGTAAATTATATAGAACTATAGGATAATTAGGATAATATGATATGATAAAATACCTTTAGCGAAAATTGGAATTTTTTCAAAAATAATTTAAAACTTTTGCAAATAAACAATTTTTAGGGATTCTTATGAACCACTTAGATCATTTGGGCACCTAAAATATTTTCTTAGATATTAGATAGATCCACTTGGGCACCTAAATTATTTTCTTAAAAACACAGAGGCTTTAAAAAAGTAGCAAAAGTGCTCATATTACCATGATCACTTGAAAATATGAGCACGTTAACACAGTTGTCCAAAAAGGGGTCCTAAACTCTTTGAAAATGATCCAAAAAATCCCTTGGAGGGGTGATTCTACAGGTTATGGTGATCATTTTGAAACAAAAATTAAAATCTTTTAATTAAGTCCGCAGGAAAAAATTGCATATAAAGTTTTTACCTAATTTGCACTAAGAAACTTAATTTTTAAAATGTTTTTTACATTGCTAAAAGTAACTAAAAAAAAACTTTTGTTCTGTCTTAAATATTGTAAATATCTCTAAACAACATTGTATTAACTTATTGTTTAAATTTTTTTCCTTCTTTATTAAAAACTCAAATTATATTATTGGCGCCAAATTTTTGCCGATAAATAATGTAAAAAAATAAATTGGCACTTCTGTTAAAAATAAATTTGTCTTTGTTAAAAAATGCCAAAACTCATTGTGATTGCAGAAAATCTGTTTGCTTTTTATGTTTGAAGAAAAGTTGATTTTTTGATTGAAAAAGTCAAAAATATTTTTTAATTGTAATATTAGTTTCAATTATGAGAAAACTCCAACTGACATTCGCAATTCATGTAGAAGCAAACTACAAAGCCTTGATACTGTTAGTTTTATTGGACAGATATTAGACTTGGACGATTTCAATTTGATTATCATTAAGCCATCTACAAGGTATTCTAGTGCTTGACAGTGTATAATTTGTAGGGTGCTCAAATCAAAGCTCAAAGAAAATGATCCACAGATTGAGCTTGATACATTGAATCAAAAAACAAAAGTCTATGTTGAAACTTACCGTATCAAAGCTTTCAGTCCCAAACCTTCATCATCACAGCCAGCTGAAAAAAAGGTGCACTATTTGTCAGTATTTTATTTATTTTTCAGACATTTGCCAAAGAACATCCACACTTTTGTACTTTAGGTACAAGGCGGGAAAATATATAGAAATTTGCTGTAAAGGATAAATGTGCTGAACAAATAGCAGCTAACTTAATCTCTAAAAAATATGTCACTTCAGGAGGTACTGTCAAACTTAGTCGAGCAAGTAGAGCTAAACTTTTAAAATTTCTGCCAGAACATTTAGCGAAGTACAAGCAGCAACTATTTATTGCTAAAAGATTGGTCCATGTTCAAAACAGTACAAATCTTTCCAATGTTAGTGTAAAAAGACTTGCATCAGCTCTAAAAAACTCAATGGGAAAAAGAGCTGTTGAGATAAACGTGAAGCAAAACCTTAACAACCTCTGGAAAAAATTAGTAGATTTTTTCATGATGTCAAATGTTGTAATTCTGGACAAAGAAATGAAAAACCAAGTTCGAAAAGTTGTTCACTGCAAGAACTTAAATGCCTTAATAAACCATATTCTCTCAGTAAGAGGACTTACATCCCATCATATAATGAAACTTGGAATTGATGGAGGTGGTTCATTTTTGAAAATTACCCTCAGCGTAATTGACACATATTCCAAGCAAAGTTGTACTCAAGGATCATTATGTCTCCAATCAAGTTATTTTGTCCAGGATGGTGGTGTAAAAAGACAACTGATTGTTGCTGCAGCAAAAGGTTTTCCTGAAACATATAAAAACTTTAGAACAATATTAGGCCTCATACAAATTGAAGATTTGTTATACATAATTTTGTGTGACATGAAAGAAGCCAACATATTATGTGGTATTCAGTCTCACTCTAGCAAACACCAATGTTGCTGGTATGATGTTGAGTCTAACAACCTTACAAATTCTGACTAATCAAGAACATTTAGTTCTTTATGCAACAACTATGCTGGATTTATCTCTTCGGGTGCAAAACTTCAATCGGCTAAGAATTATGCAAATGTTGTCCATTCTCCATTAATTAACCCCTACAGGTAAAATGAGCTTATTCTTAATGTAATTCCTCCAATTGAACTCCGTCTTTTTCTTGGAATCTTTAACCACATTTTCAAGTAACTCCTTGAAATATGGGATCAAGCACAAGAATGGCCGAATCTCTTACACCTTTAAATACAAGCATATCATGGGGTATGTTCAATGGAAATGAATGCAACAAATTGTTGAAGAAAGTTGACATTCTTCAGAGTCTTTCCCAAAAGCATTGTGCATTGCAAGCAGTGCCTTTTGTCGATTGCTTAAAATAGCTTCAATTCTGTTAAAAAAGCTTGTTTTGGAATGATCTTAGAGGCAGGATTTGTTCAAAATATTTCAGAATTTAAGAGTTCTTACTTAGCTCTTGGAATTTCAGTTACTCCAAAAGAAAATACAATTATTCATCAAATTAAGGAATTTGCTGAAAAAAAATGAAACTGGACTTGGAGTTTTCAGTGAGCAAACCACTGAATCGATGCATGCCAAATTCAAAATCCACTGGCAATGTTTTAAAAAGCATTCTTCTCATCCTGAATATAAGAACAAACTTCTGAGTTGTGTTATAGATCTTAACAGCAAATGCATTTGAAATTAAATTGTTGTTCATTAAAAACTTTCAGGAGAAAAATCTCATTCAGAGCATATTTGTATAATGACGTCAGATCTACAGTCTCAAATTTTTATTGGTTTAAGCTACTTTGTAATTCAGTGTATATATATTTAGAAATATATGCATGTCTTTTTGAAAAAATGTTGTTTAAATAATGCTATGCTTAAGAATAAAATTTTAATATCAATTTTTTTTTGATTTTTTATCCTACTAAAAAATCAAAAGAAATTTGATATCTATATTGTATATTGATATAATAGTATTAGGATGTATATACAAATATTATCTATTAAAACATAATTTGAATCTAAGGGGTATTAGTTTGTGATATTTTTAAAATTTAAGGCAAAAAAAAGTATTTTTTTGATCTTTTAGCTGTGCAAACACTTTTTGAAAATAATATTTTTTTGTGTATTTAGGAGAAAACTTTAAATGGAATTTTCTCCTGCAGACGTAATAAAAATTCAGAATTTTTGAACTTAAATTACAGAAAAATATTTAGTATTGTTAAAGTACTAAATTTTTTTACTATGTAATGTTTTTATTCAAAGAGCAATTAAAACCGCTGCTATTTTAGGACTTTAAACTAGGTAATTTTAATAAAAAACTTTGGGTAATTTGAGCATGCTCATATTACACAAAAATGGCATCTTTTAATAAAGTCAAAACTGAATGTTTCTAAACATTGTTTTTCAAACAAAAATTGATTGGATTTTTAGCTAACATATTTTTCTTTATGAAAAAATGAATTTCATTATTTTAGCGCCAAAACTTCGTGTCACAGATTTTATTTTAACAACGCAAAAAATTTGACAGCATTTTAATAAGATGATAGCCGCTAATTACTGCATATAAATTTACGCTAATTGTACTGATTCCTGTTATCACTACGAGTCAATTCGAAAAATACCAAGTAACTTTAACTTCACTACTTATATATAAGAAATCTTTAAATATGCTCATATTACCAAGATGCTCATATTAACCTAATCTAGCCTATACAACATTACTTTTAACTACTTTTAACTATCGAACTAAAAACAAAAATTGCTTTTATATTATTATTAACTGCTAAAGAAATTCCATGTTGATTATTTTAATTTATTTTTTAAACTAATCTTAGAAAAACCTTATTACAGAACACTGTCATGGAAATAGCATTTAACGGTTTTCTATTTTTGTTCTTACCAAGAATGTTTGTGCGACTAGAATGCTTAGAATTTTGGACCTTTTGATCCGAACAACTACAGCTGCTTAAATATGAGATAATAACTTAAATAACAGATGATATTAATATCTGAGAAAATTTCTTTTTTAAACAATCAAATATTAGATAACTTTTTAAAAAAAATCAGTTTCTTAAATAACAAATTACAAAACTGTTTTGTGGAAATGCTTTTTTATATATAAAAATATTAATCTCTTGTTAAATATATTAAAATATATATATATATATATATATATATATATATATATATATATATATATATATATATATATATATATATATATATATATATATATATATATATATATATATATATATATATATATATATATAACACGAGCCAACCCAGATAAGATGACAGCATTCCATACAATAACAAATATTTATATAGGTAAAAAATAGAATCAAGAGTACGAAAATATATAAAGAGAGAGAGAGCTTATTAGAGGCAACCAAAAATTGAAAGTTGCTAAAAATGAGTTTTGTTGTTGATTTTAATTAAAAGATTAAGTAAAAAGAAGTAAAGTTTAATAACATAAAAATTTTTAATAAAATTTTTTAAAATATTAAAAAAGTAATAATTTAAAATAATTTAATAATTTAAAAATTTTCTACTTCATGTGAAATGAGCTTATGGAGAAAACCAACATAAGAAACTTTATCATTTGATAAAGCAAACGCTCAGATGATCAGCTTGTAAGGACTCAGTAAGAATGCCACAGTTATAGGAATATCAGCAATATTGTAACATCTGTTAATACCAAACAACTATGTTTTGTTCGGGTGAAAATTCACTGCAAGCCCTGGCTGGGATTAATTGCTTGTACTAAACACTTAGTACACAGTACTTGTACTTAGTACACAGTGCTTGTATTTAGCAGGACCTTAAAATTTAAAGTTTCTAAAAATGAAATGAGTTTTATTGTTGATTTTAATTATGAAATAAAAAGAAGTAAAGATTAATAATTTAAAAATTTTTAATAAAATTTCTAAATTATTTAATAAAAATAAATTTTTAATTATCAAACTTTTGTTAATTTTATACTATTAAAAACTTTATTTTATTTAAACTAATTTTATACTATTAAAGATTTCCAGATACTTAGATTGCCTGAATTTTACCTAATCTGACAGACAGCCTATAAAAGCAAAAAAAAAAAAAGTAGAACCAAGAAAGTCTAGCATTTATCATCCTAGCCAGAAAACAATGACTTGCAAATTTATATCTACATCAACTTATAAAGTATGACATGCAAACTCATTTCTTCTTCATATTATGAACTAATGTATATGTAAGCAGGGCATAAGGAAGGTCGTACTGTATTACATGATAATATTATATTTGAAACACTAGAAATACCAGGAATTTCATAAAATAATAGGAGCTAGAAAAAATACGAGAAACTACATTACAAATTAGGAACCATATAATATAAAAAATCAGAAACTGTTTGAAATATAGTTCCTGATATTACATAAAATATCATAAACAACATAGCAAATTCAAAGAAGCTACAAGAAATATCTTGAACATATGAAATGTCAAAAGTTATATAAAATATTAAGTACTATAAGAAATACAAGATATAAAACAATCGAGGCTATACAAAATATCAGTAACTACACAAAGTAATAGGAACTATATGAATTATCAGAAAATATACATTACATTAAAAACTATATAAAAATATCGGGAACAAATAAAACATCAGACACTTGATAAAGTATCAGAAGCTACTACAAGATAAAAACCCAGAAGGATGACACTACACATTACATCTATTAAACTTTTTTAAACCTTGCTCTTTATCTTTTCAAATCTTCTAAATGAAACTTTAAATATCAAATTAAAGTTTTATTATTATTATTATTATTTTTAACATCTTTGCTTCCAACAAGGCTGCAAGCAACGACTATTAGAGTTGGAAGTTACTGGAAGAGAAAAGATGAAGTTTATAGAGCAAGATAACGGTTAAAAGACAACATAAAAAATTGCAAATTGTATGAATTAGGAAACCAAGATAAAGGAAGCGAATTCCAAAGACTTAATGTTCGAGGAAAAACACTAGACCAATAAGAGTTTTTAGAGCATTTAAGCATAGTCACAGAAAAAGGATGAGACTTAATCAAATGACGAGTAACATAAGAATGAATTTTGGTACAAGAGACGCTAGCTCTTTAGAGCAGTGCCCATTATAGTATTTGTAGAAAAGAAAAAGAGAAGTAAAATTACGACGCTGTGATAATGGTTGGAGGTCGGTTGCAAGAGCAGGGCCAACTATGTTTACAATGTGTTTTTGCACCTTGTCTAGAGAAGAGAAAAGACATCTTTGAAAGATCCGGCCAAGATATGGCAACAGTATTCCATACTAGAACGGATTTAAGATTTATAGAGATAAAGAATAGAATTCAGAGTAAAAAAGTTTGTCGGTTTATATTAGGTAAAACGCAATTAGTGGAGTCAAAAGATGATATTGATGAAAAATTCTTAGCAAACAATTTATCTTTGTGTTTAGGTGAGATGACACATCTAAACCATACAAGAGATGTGGAATAACAGATTTTTCATTATTATTGATACTGTTAAAGATTCTTCAAAAGATATGAAAGTAATGGTTACTTAGAAATTGCAGCAGCACAACGTGAGAAAAACCAAGGAGAAGAGTAAGGCTTGACCTGGAATCATCGAGAGAGAATAAAAAATTCCATGCCATCCTGAATCCAAGAAATTATGTAAAAAGCTTTTGTCAGCAGGAAGATAAAAATTTAAAAATCTATCCAAGGGTCATCACGAAAAAAATCATGCATTGAGTCCCAGTCAGCTTTAAGGTAATTGTAAGAGGTACAATGATAGGAGATTCTGATGATGAAGAAGATTGAGATAATAGTTTTAGAGAGATCAAACCGTGATCAAAAGCATCTAAGGGTGAATGTGGAGAAACTGAGTACTGACTAGGATCAAAAACAAGACATAAATTGAGTAGAGAAGGTAAATGATTTGGATTGTCTGGAAAGCATGTTGGAAAGTTGAATATATGTGTTAGAGATTAGGAAAAGAAAAAGTTGTGGGCCTTAACGCCTGCAGAGTCACTTAAATTTGAGCCCAGTCATTCAGTGTGATGAGCATTAAATTCACCAACAACAACGATATTGTCTAGTGGATAAAGAGAGAGGGCTTAGTCAATTTGATCAGAAATAACATCTAAAAGCATGCAGTCGTGAGATGAAGTAGAGCGATATAGAACAAAGAGAAAGACGATAAAGTAAAGTAGTGCTAAACAAAAGCACATAAAAGAATAGTCGGTGGATTTAAACCTAGTTTCCCAACAAAGTGAATTCTTACGAATGTAAATTCCCAGACCAAGCATGTGACTATTGGAGTCTTTATGAATTAATGGAAAATAATCATCAACACTAAGATCAGAAGATGACACAACCACTCAAGTTAGTCTCACAAAGAGCAGGTAGGTCTGGTGAAATTTACTACAAGACTAAACAGAAAAAAAGTTTTTTTGAAGACCACAAATATTAGTGAATAATAGATTTAGTGATGACGATGTTTATTTGTGTATATATTTTTTTTTACTTTAGTCATTTTTAAATTTGTTAAAGAATTTGACTCAAAGCATAGAAAGTACTCAGCACACTGTTTAATAGTATAAGCAATTGGCTCATTACTGTTAATGAACCCTAAACCGTAACAATGGGCTTCAATCTGGCTTCAACAATGCACACCAGTAGTACGAGCAGGGACACCACCCATGCGCAACTTGACACTGTTAGTGCTCTGATATGTTATAGCTTTTGATGGAATCAGCCCCTCTGAGAGCTACCACAGAGTTTGGGAAACCTGATTACCAGCCGGCCTCAGAACCATAGAACTGAGTTTTAGAGCTGTTCCCTCATTGGAGATAATAGAATGAGTTTTCTTGTCATAAATCAGATACACAAGCATAACCCATGCATTGTGTCAGGTAGATCCAGCATTCAACATTTTAAACTGGAAACAATTTACTAAAAGTACATCTGTGCCAGCCTAATAGATGAAGAAGTGGTATGAGGCTGGTCAACAGATAAAATCGGTTTACTCCTTAAGTCTTTGCCTAAGAGACCTTCTATAAGACAGTAGCCGAATGCGTTTAACATCTGTTCAAGATTAGTATTTTTATCAAGACATCATTTCTTGCCTTTTTCTTAACCAAGAGCCCTCAATGCAGAGGTGTTTTAAGTCGGAGTTGGCTTCTCCTAGCCATTGCCAAAAAAAGCGTATCCTACAAGGCAGCAGAACATAAAGCAGGTAGTACTGTGTTACATGTTACCAGTAGCGGGATAACCTGACCTAAAGTTAATATAAGCAAACACTATTTAATGTAATTATTATAATTAAAAAATTTTTTTACCGCCTTCAGATCGAAACATGTGAGCATTATTGTGCTGAAACCAACTTCGTGTGCTATCGACATAAATAGACCAGGCCTTGTTGTCTTTTCCAAGTATGGCATCTTTAATACACCCTTGTTGTGCAACGCCTATTGCTGGATCAGGGTTTCCTTAATGAACAAATAATTGTTTTGATTGTAAAACAGCTTTTTTTAAAAAAGCCTAAACGCCTAAGGTAAAAAAAATTCAAAGTTAACATTTTTTACGAAATAAGCTATTTTAGATGCCTATAAACGTTAGTGAAAAAAAGTGAAAAAACGTTTTAGAAATGAGTTAGCGACATTGAATATTTTTTAATTGCACTTTTCTTAAAATACTTAAAAAATAACTTAACTTCTTAACAGTGGAACACTTTTTTTTGTGGTGGCTCTATCTTAGTCGTATTATTTAAAATGCTTTTGATAATATTTTTTTGTTAAGTGAGGAAAAATTTTAACTGAAAAATTACTAAACAATGGCTTTACCCATCCTTCACATATAAATATCAATTTACCATGACCATCCTTCACATATAAATATCTGTTTACCATCAACAAATGTAATTGTCACTCACTGTTAATGTGTTGAGGTGATTTAAAAAAAAAGCTGAAATGTACTTGATTGAAAGAAGTATATTAAGTAAGAAATTATTTTTATATGAAATAAAAATCACTAGTATGTATATACTAGTATGTTGATTTGAAAATAATTTTATGACATTGGAAAAAATAAGATCATATATAATATAGAATAAAATCAATTATAGCAGAAATGATTCTTTGTTGCGAATGTCATAAAACCATAAGTGATGTTGGTAATTTATTTAATGACATAATGGAACACTGTAATTTTTTGATTAAAATACCGTTATAATATATAAATAAAAACTTCTTTTTGTAATATTTTATTTTTAAAGTTCATTTTAATGCCAAATAAAAGATTTTATAATATAAATCATCTTTTTTAAAATTTGTTAATTTGTAAAATTTTAAAAAATGTTTTTTAAAATTTAAATTTTCAGGTGTATCAACTTTTTATTTTATCAACTTACCTTCATATCGATCAATATGTACTTCCCAATAATGTTTTCCTCTGCAAAAACCAATATCGCAGAGAGCAACACGATTTTCGAAACTTGTACAAGTAATTGTACGATTTTTGTTTGAGTGAACGATGTCTGAATGGGAATTTTCTTTATCAAACTGAAACACTGCAACTAAAACATCATATTAAAATATACAAAACTTATAGAAAAAATATTTTCTTTTGTAAAAAACCAAAATTTGTCAGCTTTTTTTTAGTAAATAAGCAAAAAAATTATTAACTAAAAAATGACACAGCAATATCAAAGAAACAGATATATTGGTTGTAAACAAAAGTTAGTCGTTGTTCTCAATTATAATTATATCTTAAACAATGTTAGTTTCTAAATGAAATAACAATAAGTTTAAACAACAACAATATAGAACAATATAAAAACAATATAAAAACAAGAAATGAATAATGTCACTATTTCTACATCCCCTTCCATGTTTTTAAGTGTCAATGAATATAAACATAATTTCTGGGTTCATTTCTTAAAGTCATTTAATGTCAAAGATTTCCCGGTTTCTGGTTGGTAGAATTTTTTGGGGATACGTAGCCTGGATGAACGTTTCAATGGTTGATCTCCTACGATTTCAGTATTTAATAAAGGTGGCATCGCTAGATGCGGCGAGCTTGTTGATAAAGATGCTGGCATCAACGGTAAGGGTACTGGAGTTGTTGGTAGAGGTAGTGGTGGTACTGCTGGTGCTAATGTAGAAGACGGTAGCAATACTGTAGATGGTGCTAGTTCCGGTTGGGATGGTATGACTTTGTTGCTACTTTCTGGGACATACTCTGTAAATGGTGTTGGCAAATCGGCAGAGTTATAGTGACTAGAGCTTGTTCTTGGTGGTGTAGTCAATGCAACTTCGGTTTCGTATGACTTTAGTGGGTTGAGGAATTTGCGCAAATATTTTCTATTTCTTAATGTTAGTCGACCTGTTCCTTCAACCTTAATGATGTATTGGTCATTTTCCTTACATTCAACAACTTTTCCACTACGATCCCATTTTTTAGGGTGGTTCCCTACTTGATTTTGTATGAAGACACTGTCTCCTTCATGTAGTGGTGTGAGAAAACGTGTGTGTTCTTGAAGTGATTCAAGGGTCTTTGCATATCTTGTTCGTAATGCTTCTTCTTTTGCAGACCATGCATGTCTCCACGTTTTCAAGAATTGGTCGTTATTAAACATAGGTATTCTGGATTTTATCCTGGGCATGGCGTCGTGAATGGGATGGCCAAATAATACTTGAGCGGGGGATAACTGACAAGTAGGGTCTGGTGTGTTTCTTATTGTAAGCATTGCCCTTACAAAAGCGTTATTATTGAGATCACCATTTGGTCCCACATTATTTTCGAGGAGGCGTTTTGTTGACTTAACTGCAAGCTCAGCTCTTCCATTAGATTGTGGGTGGTGGGCTGATGAAATGCGATGAGTTATGCCCCATTGTTGTAGAAATTCTTTTGTTTCTCCAGAGGTGAATTGAGGGCCACCGTCGGTTGAAATTTCTTCTGGGACTCCAAATGTTGTAAATAGTTTACGTAAGCATGTGATAAGACCTTTTGCACCCATTTCTGATGTTCCTGATTTTATTCTGTAGGCTTCGGTCCATCCAGAAAGTCTATCTCCAATGACCAGATAATCCCAGCCATGGAATTCAAAATAGTCAGCAAATATGCATTCAAATGGTGTCACAGGGATGTGAGGTCGGATGGGTGGTAATCGTGCATTAGAAGGTGCATTTCGATTACAGCTGCAACAGTTATCACGCTTACTTTGTATGCTGTGAGTGATACCTGGCCAGAAAACAGTGGCTTGAGCTCTGGCTGTCATTCCCGATACTCCTTGGTGGGCTGAGTGTAGTACGTCCAATATCTCTTTCCGTAGAGTAGGTGGGATTACAATTCTGTCATTGTATATTATAACCCCGTCGGACACCATCAAGTCATTGCGGTATTCCCAGAACGGTAAAAGATTTGGTATGAAGTTGTTCTTATTTTTTGGGAACCCGTTTTCTATTGCTAACATTAATGCTTTAAAATCGGTATCCTTTTCTGTCTCTGCTTTGACACTATCCCATGTTACTGCAATCATTTTATCTATGTCGTTTCGTATCGAGGCTATTATTAGTGATTCTGTGTTGTCAAAATCAGTATTTTGATTGCAAGTGGCTGAATTATCAGATTCCTTTGTGTTCTCTGCAGGGTAACGAGAAGTAGCATCTGCTGCCAGGTTAGTTTTTCCTGGTTGATGTTGGATGGTAAATTTCCATGGCAAAGTTCTCTGTTTTAGTCGGAAAAGTCGTGTGTTAGCAATTTCATCTAAGGTCCTATCTCCTAATAATTTGACAAGTGGTTTATGATCAGTTACTACCATAAGGTTATCACAACCTTGTGTGAAATATTTAGTCTGCTCCAGGCTCCATGCCACTGCTAGCATTTCGCCCTCAACTGGTGCATATCGTTGTTCAGCAGATGACAGGAATCTGGACCCTGCTAGGGTTATTTTCCATCCGTCTATACAGCAATCTGGGGAGTCCGATTTACATTCACAATGTTTTTGGCTTAGGTAATATCCTATCCCCAATTTTGACCAGTCGCATCTTAAACAGGTCTTCTTGGTAATGTCAAATATTTGGACTCCATCTTTAATTGCATTGATAATTTTTTCCTTTGACACGTTGAATAAAGTGTTGAGTTCGTCCGACCAATAAAATTTTGATTTAGGGCTAAGCAGAACTCTGAATGGGGCCATAGTTTCTCGAAGTTGAGCGTAATGTGATACTTGGGTCACTAAGCCGAACCAAGATCGGATGTCTGTTATTGAGGATGGTGTTGGAAATGATCTAATGGCATCGATATATTTAGGTAGTGGTTCAACTCCATTTTCAGATATTCTGAAACCTGCAAAATCCACTATTCTTTTAGCAAATTGGAATTTTTGTGGGTTCAAAATGATCCCAGCTTTGCCAACAAGCTCAAGAAATTCGATTGTCCGCCACCAATGTTTGACTAGGTCGTCATCGTAGTGGATGGTGTCATCTACACATCTTTGTTTGCCAATAAAGTCTGCTAAAATTTCGTCGAAACGTCTGTTGTAGCCATCCCCACTAGATACAAAACCTTGAGGAGCTCGGATGTATCTGTAGCGCCCAAAAGGAGTAATGAAGGTGGTAAGATTCCTGTCTTCAACCCGTATCGGGATGCTATGATAACCATTCCATGCGTCGGTTACAGTTTTCCATGAATTTCTTGGGACTGAACGAGCTAGTTGGAAAGGCGATTTCATTGCATGAGTTTCTCTGTAGCAGTACTTGTTTAAAGGAGATAGATCAACAGTGCGACGAGGCCCACCGTCATGCTTACGTGTGATAACCATTCTATGACACCATGTTGTAGGTTCTCCTAGAGGTACCTTTTCAATGACTCCAAGAGTTTCATCACGAATTAAATCCTTTTCCACCTGGTCTTGCCAATGGATTGGTATGGTGGCTGGAGTAAATGCTGCAACTGGTTTGGCATTTTCTTGAATTAAAATACTTATTGGAGGTCCCTCCATATCAGGTAAAATCTGGTGTGGACATGTGTTGAATGTTGAAGCAGAGTATCTTTCAAGGAGCCACGCTTTCATCCGTTCGTTGTTTTCAGGACAGCAGACAAATGGAAGTTTGGTGGGTGCACCTGCTGGGAGACTTCTTTTGGGGCAATTGCACACGTGTGAGCTATTATTTTCACTGGATGTTTTGGTCCCTATAGTTATAGGGCCTGAGTTAATAGCTCCGTGGAGGGCACTGCCTATCTCTGGAAAGTCCTTAGAGATGATACCCAGTTGGGTCATTGCTTCTTTAGATAGGTAGAATCCGTTTGCGTCTGGACTTATATAAACCATTACTGCACATTCAACTTTGTGTCCATTAGATTGTCGTCCTTCGAGACGTAAAAGAATTGCACCATCTATACGAAATTGGGTTTTATTTGCGGCCGACATGCTATGTTTCACAGGTATTAAATTGTTTGCATTAAAGCCTGCACTGACAAACCCTTTCCTAGACCATAAGCAGGACTGTGCACCGGTATCTGTAATAACTTGTATATATTTTGGTATAATGGGAGGAAATGGAATACCAAATGCGACATAGTCTGATTTGTTAGTAGTCACACGCAGCTGAATTGTAGGATGAACAAGCAATTGAGCTGTGGCCCATCCATCATGGGTAAATATGTGATGGTTTATTCCTGTGCATGGTCGTTTCACATTGGTCTTCATTTGTGATCTAATTTTTTTATTTGAATGCTCAATTGCACTTAACTTTAACACAAGTCCGCCTGCCTCAGCATCTTTGGTTGCATTCGATTTCTTATCATTTGGGATGATTCTGTTGTTAATTTTAGAAGTGCGAGATCTGAGCTTCTTCCAACAGTCTAGACACAGCTTGTGGGGTTTTTTGTTCCATCCTCTGGATGTTTCTGTAAATAAACTGTAAGATTCTGAGCAATCTGGACATTTGGCTGTTATATTGGTCCCTTTACTTTTCTGTGTATTGCTCTTGTTTTGTTTCCTGAAAGTTGATACACTTGCTGTTGTTGAACTACAGCCTAGTGCATTTCGTGCCATTTCTTTACCCTCTATAAAAGCAATGATATCTGTGACGGAGGCTGTGTCAAGGGAGACCCATCCAAGTACGTCTTTGCGGATGTCAGTATCTGATAGCCCGGCAACAACAATGTCTCGTATGATAACATCGGTAAAATCAACAGTTGTTTGTGGGTGGCAGTGGCATTGAACAGTGTAGTTGCAAGTAGCAGCCTTGCCTTTCAGTTTTGCATAGAATGACCGAATACTTTCGTTGTGTCCCTGTCTCATTTGAAGGAGTTCTGCTCTTCTGACGCAAGTGGCTACTGGGATAACGGCCAGTTTTTTCATTGCTTTTAGAAATGCCTCATCGTTTTCATTAATTATCATGGGATTTTCTTTTAGGAGTTGATTTCCAAGGTCGTCCTCACAGCACTGAAACAGCTGTGCTGTCATCTCTTCTTGTCTGATGTCTGTACATCTCTTAAACAATGTCCAGCGACTAATAAAGTTTGCCCACTCTTCTTCTGAGATATCCTGACCGATGTGGGGGCGATCCATTTTAGGTGCCTTGTGTTTTGAGAAGGCTGAATGAGTGTCAATCGAGTTTGGAGGATGGTGAAGCTGGTGACTATTGAATAATGCAATTGCAATTGCTTCGCTGGGACCTTCAATGACGACATTGCATCCTGGGGCCTGGCAAGGTAAGCTTATTGTGGCCATAATGTAGGAAAGAAAAAGGTTAGCAAAATCCTACCTTTTGTGTGTACATTAACAACTTCAAACGAATATGTAAGTGAATTACAATTTCAACCACTGATAAGAAGTTTTTATCTTTGAAATACCAGTGTTTCTTTAAAATTTCATAGAATGCATAAGAAACTAACATAAACAAAAGTTAGTCGTTGTTCTCAATTATAATTATATCTTAAACAATGTTAGTTTCTAAATGAAATAACAATAAGTTTAAACAACAACAATATAGAACAATATAAAAACAATATAAAAACAAGAAATGAATAATGTCACTATTTCTACAGGTTGAATTCTTTTTCAACATAAAAACAACACAAATAACATACGTTTTGAAGTATTCATAATTATCGTTTGACCTGGTTGACTTTCACCTGCAGAATTAACGCATCTAACCTTTACTCTATAAGTTGATGAACATTGCAGCCCTTTCAATATGCAGGAGGTTTCTTTTGTTTTAAGAACATCCTGAAAACTTCCATTTAAACCATCATCCAGTTCTACAATATATAAATCTACTTGATTTAGATTTCCAGGTGGATCTCTCCATTCAAGTGCTATAGTATTATACTTTACTGTGCATTTTTCTAGCAACATAACTGGCGGGGAAGGTTCTGAAAACATAAGTTTTTTAATTAGCTCTACATTTTCAAAAACCTAATAAATATGGTAAAGGTAATTTTAAATGTTGTTTCCTTTAATGAATTATCTATATCACTGTCACCATAAAAGTGCTTTAATGGTTATAATAAAATAATAAATAATGTTCACAACAAGATTCAAAGTCCGTACATAATGAATATTTAAATAAATTATTTCAAGAACTATATTATTAAAGATAAATGATTATAATAAAAATTAATTATATTTATTTATAATTTAAAAAATTGTTACTTTTTATTTTTTTCTTTGGTTGTGCTTTTTGAAAATGAGTATTAGTTATTACATCTTCAATTGATTGTATGGATAGAGAGAGATCGATTTCAGACAATACTGCTGGGTCAAGTGTCTCAACTTTAATCATTGTTTTTAAGGTAGATGCCACTCTAAAAGTATCAAATGAAAATAAATACCAGTTGTGCAATCTTGTTGAAACTAAATTATGTGAATACTTAACAAAGAGTTTACCTGGAGCACAAAGAACTTGATATTGAAAGAAAAGTTGATGGATCGGTTTCTTTCAGCACTTCTTTTGTGTAGTGTATCAGAGCACTCAATGACGTTGTTGTTTTTGTTATATTATCTTTTTGTAAAATGAGCTGTTGATTTTGCGCTGCAACAACAGATGATATGTGTTCAATTAAATCAAGCTTTTTTTTTTCTAACTGCAGAACAAGCTCATCTATTTTTGCAACTACTAGAGACTCTAGTTCAACTCCATTCTCCTAAAATTATAATTACATGTAAATTTAAATTTAAACTTAAATATAAAAAAAAACAGCTACTATTTGAAAACTAAGTAAAAAAATTAAATAAGAAGAAAAACTTAAGTATTGAGTGCGCACATGCAAAGTTCCGACTTCCATTTCTAAAAACCCTGCAAAAGCTATAAGTTCATTACTTTTAACTTCTAGTGCTGAAACCAATGATACCATATCATTCTAAAATGAAGAACCTTGAAATAAAAAACTTACTTATTCTCTTTAATTAATATAATTATAGAGAATAAGTAAAAATAAAATTACCTAATTAAAGGAGATACCATTTAAAATAATATCCTACTATTTTCAATAATGGAATGAGAGTAAAAAAATAATATTTTAATTGGTTTTGCTTTGGTACAGTTCTTTTAACCAACAAACCCTCTTGAAATGACAATAAATTAACATCGGTTTAATTAACACTGGTTTTCGTGATTTTATAACTGAATTCAAAGACACCCTAAGCTTGTTTTTACATTAAGCTTGCTTTTATATTAGGAAAGTATAGGTAGAACTTTAAAAAAATAATTAAAAATACAGAGGACAGCCCTTCTAAGTCTAAAAATCATAAACTGAAATCTCACATTTTTGAATTTCGGGCCTACTTTAATTTCATTTGTCAATAATCATCGCAAGATATTTAATTGTATTTAGAATTGGTATCCTATTTAATTTTATTTTATGGTTTAAAAAAATTGAGAGAGTATTGCTTACAAAAATACTTATGAGTAATCAAACTGTCAAAAAATGTTTTAACTTGCGTTTAAAAATCAACCATTATGAGAATTGAGAAAAGTTGCAAGACTCAATATATTGATTTTCTATTACTTCATAATGCTATTCTTTCAAAAAAATAAACTTGGGAGATAATGAAATAACGTTGTGTTATAATGATACGAAGCCTTTTTTTAACGAAGGTTTTTTTTTTTTAATTTATAGGATTTTAGACATGCAAACACTTTTAACATAATGTTTAATGAACATACATAATTATTTTTAGACATTGTTTCTTTATTTACAGTTTGTTTGGTTTAATTAGTTACTTATACACACTCCCCTAAATCGCCTCCAAAATCGACACCAAACCGCCAATTTTTTTTTCGTACAAAATTGCAACGGACCAATATCAACTAGTCGACTCACACTATGTTAAAAAAACATCAGGTTAAAATATTTTACATTTCTTCAATTGTATAAACTTGAAAAAATTCAGATTTAGCATTACTTTGCTAAACATTATTTTCACAATGCGACATTACTAATTTTAAATTACTATTATAAAAGAGTAGTAATTTGGAGTAGTTGAAAATCTTTATTTTAATTTAGTTAGCATTATTAATTATGTTGTGTCATTCAAACTTAAACAAGAAATACCACTACCAAAAATTTAGTTGAAGATACAACTGATTTCGATTTGAGCCGCAAGAAATTTTAGTTTCTGAAGAAAAGATTGAAGGAACTACATCTATTGGTAAAAACATAACAGAAACACTCCACATCAGTTTTTTTCAGAATGAGTAGATATCTTATCACAAAACAATGGAAAGAAAATTAGAAATAAAAATTAAAAGAGCCAAGATACAGATTGAAAAAAGGTTTCTAGAAGTTGTTTCCTCAAATCAGATTTTATTTCAAACATTTTAAATAAATCATTGGAAACTTCACATAATCATACGGTACTCGAAGATTTAAAAAATTGGTTGAAATTTATGAAAAAAGTGGCTTTACGGGTAAACATATTATTCTGTGTTCGGTTGAACATGATTTTGAATATTTTTGAATGTGTAAAGTACAAGATAGACCGAGCACAAACAATGAAAAAAATTTATTTATGTGTAACTATTCCTGTCAAAAAAAATATTACGCGGAATAGACTAGATCAGGAAAAAATAATATAACTTTGATTTCATATTTAACAGCTGCCTTCTCAAAGATTACGAGTCACAAAAATTAAATTTGACTCAAATAGTGTATAGTAAAAATATCTCGTGTAGTTTTTTAATTGGTATAATATTTATAGGGCGAAACCTTTTTTAAATTCATTTTGTTTAAAACTCTTATATTTCTCATTTATCAATTGTCATTTTAATTATACTAACATTGCTTAGTGCAGTACCAATAAGAATACATTAATAAAACTCTTTAATATGCAAAATACGCATTATATCCAATGTTAGCCGTTTTACACATTCCCAACCACTATTTATCAAGTTAACTATGCTAAATATTTACCAGATAAATACTTATCACCTTTTAATTTTTATGTTCAAAACTAATAAAAAAGCTATTTCTTAAATTTTTAATCCGTTACTTATAATAAATCAGAACAATTACTTAAATAAATATTCAAACAACACCGGTATACAGCCCAAAAGCTTATTACACCGGTATACAGCCCAAAAGCTTATTACACCGGTATACAGCCCAAAAGCTTATTAAACCGGTATACAGCCCAAAAGCTTATTACACCGGTATACAGCCCAAAAGCTTATTACACCGGTATACAGCCCAAAAGCTTATTACACCGGTATACAGCCCAAAAGCTTATTACACCGGTATACAGCCCAAAAGCTTATTTTGCGTCAACAAAACTTTTAATCTCTATTAGAGGACCGAAGGTATGAAATAAAATACTTTCAAATGAACTTACAAACTTTACCAAGTTTAAAAGAAATCAAAACTGAGACAGAAATTATTAATAAATAATATACAGCAAAGCAAAAATTTCTAAGTTATCAATATATATTCTGTTTTATAAAAAAGGTTGAAGTTAACAACCACTTTTTTACAATATCTATCTTTTTAGCTTTTGATTTTGTTTTTTCTTGTTTTTCTTAATGCTACTTTTTTTTTAAACTAACTTTTTGGATTTTTTGTTGCTTGATATTAGCATTAATAATTTCTTTTCTTTTTTTTTTTTGTTATTTAGGTGTTCCAAGAAGACCTAATGGTCTTGTCACAGAGCAACGTGGAAGTGCATTTTAACGCCTCCCTCCTCACCGTGATGCGAAAATATGTCAAGAGCTCGTTTCGAACCTGGATCTCCTGCTACTAAAGCAAACGCTCTAACTACTGCGCCACGGCTGTTTTTCACATCATATATAAAAAAATTTCCATTTTTATTTTAAATTCACATTCTAAACTCTATATTTTATAATCTTCCATTTATTAGTTTATATAGCGAACAAAATTCAGCATTCTTAATATATACAAAATTTATCAAGAGGCTTAGCAATAAGACTTTTTCTTGCCCCTGTTATCAGTATATACTGTTGATATCTTACCCAATGAATATTTACACGGCAAAAAACCTTTCGTCCAATTTTCATTGCGGAAATGCGTTATAAAATTGCATTTTATAATGAAGCAGATGCGCGAATTTCTCTCTATTATTGGATAGCAGTTTGTGACTTCATAGAATTGAAACACGGTAACAAAATTTTTACTCCATGCAATTGAAACATAGTAACAAAATTTTTTTAGCTGGATTCTACGATTTTGCTACTGTAGATATAAATGGTTTCTCTATGTTGCAAGATTTATCTTTGAAGAAAAAGAATAGAAAGTAATATGTTTAAACGCAGCAAAGGATATTACAGAACTATTTTTCAGTTCAAAAGCATTGTAAACAGCCTTAGTGTGACCAACCGTAATTCTCCCGCTGTCCAATATTTGAGTGATTTTACCCAAAAACAAATTTTGTCATAATTTCTAAAAATTTAAGTAATTCCTTGTTGAACCAAAAGCATCAGATTATTCAACTGAAATCAATTTTATAATAACGAAATTATAATGTCGATATTATGATAACATAAATTCAGCAATTTCGTTATTATATTTTATGATAACGAAATTGCTGAAGATGATATCATTGATTATAAAAAACATGTAATGCGCGGTTGTCTACAGAAAAAGTCTTCAACCAAACTTTAGATTTTTCATCAAGGTTTTAAAAACAAAAACTTTGTTTTTAAAAACAAAAACTTTGTTTTTAAAAACAAAAACTTTGTTTTTAAAACCTTGATGGAAAATCTAAAGTTTAGTTGAAAGAACATTGCCTAAAAGTTTTACAATTCTGCTAAAATATATTGAGTTATTCGTAAAAACGCTTATAAAAAACGTTTTTAAAAGTTTTATTGGCATCAAAAATGTGAAATGATTTTGAACGAAACCAGATCTGATTTGAAAAATATTAGTCTTCTAAAATGGTTGATGGAACCTATTTTAGTAAATTTATCTCATATTTCTAATATACACTACCAATAAGAACTAGCAGAAATGCAGATACCAATAAGAACTAGCAGAAATGCAGAATGACAAAGAAAACATTTTATATAAAAGTAACAAAAGCTTAGCTCTTGAAATATTCAATTTTTCAATCACTTGATGTCTTTTTTTAATGAATATGTAGAAAAGTAACTAAGACATATTGTTGTGAGATATCCAATAATGATCTACATAATTCAATAACACTGTTTCATGTGTAGTAAATTGATTGTGAGGTACCATAAGGAAATTTAGTTTTACTTTCTAACTATCTTTAAAGCCATATTTCCACAACTTAAAATATTTAAAATAGGTTACTATTATCATTAGCATCTTTTGAAGTTCATCATTGAATTTAATATCTGCGTTTGTTCACTCAACATTGTAAACTTTACACTATGATACAATGATGTTAATAAAATCTGCTGTGTATTGTTTTTCTTTTATATGCTGCAGTCCTGGATGATTATTCAAAACATGGTCATAAAACATCCTTCAACAGGTAGAAACTGACTGCCTATCAATTGGTTTTTGAAAATATTGAAACCTTTTTTAAATTAAGTAATAAAAGTAATTATTTGGATCATAAAGATTTTTTTCCCATTGTGCTACTTTATCTTTTATCATAAAAATAAGTTGACCATTAGCTAACTAGGTTTTATCTAGAGTTGATCTTTTAAAGATTTTGAAGAATGCCTAATTAACTTTATTTCCGTCAAGTTTTTTAGCTTTGAATTGACCTGAAGATTTCTTTATTGATTGGACCGTTAATTTGTTCAAAAAGAAATTAAGAGCTTAGTTTAATTAAATAAACGATAATCAACCATATAAGCAGTTAACCATTAGGCCCAAAAAAGTTTTTTCCAGAAAAGTCATCAATTACTTTTTCGAATAATAATCTTATATGGTATAAC